TATATAAAAAAATTTATTGTTGTTATAGAGGTGATATACAGAGAGGTTACATTTACCTGAGTCAGGTAATAAATACATTTCCCTACTGTTCCCTCATTCTCTTCCACAAGGATACATTTTTGAGGAAAGAAAATAATTTAAATACTAGTAATAAAGATTTTAAAATACTCTTTAGAATTACAATAACTTTTTAAAATGAGGTATAGAGTGTAAAAAGACTGACAGATCAATAGACCAGACCAGAAAGTACAAAATCGAAATACGTGTGAAACACAGTACACACCAGAGATGGCTTTTCTTTTTACATTTTTTTATTATATCTTTTTTTTTTTTTTTTTTTTTGGTCGTGGGGCTTGAACTCTGGGCCTGGGTGCTGTCCCTCAGCTCTTCAGCTCAAGGCGAGCGCTCTACCACTTGAGCTATAGCGCCACTTCCGGTTTTCTGGTGGTTTATTGGAGATAGGAGTCTCACGGTCTCTCCTGCCCGGGCTGGCTTTGAACCGCGATCCTCAGATCTCAGCCTCCTGAGTAGCTAGGATTACAGGCGTGAGCCACCAGCGCCCGGCTTATTATATCTTTTAAGTAGTTGTACAAAGACATTCCCATTCTACATAACAGTATATGAGTACAAGGTGTCTGATAACATTGTAGATTGACTTGCTTTTTAATAAATCAGGACTAAATTCAATTAGCAGTTGATCTTAGAACCTATGAAGAATGAGAAGATGCTGGTGGAGAGAAGTTGGTATTTTTTTTTTTGGGTCTGGTCGTGGGGCCTGAACTCTGGGCCTGGGCGCTGTCCCTCAGCTCTTCAGCTTAAGGCTAGCACTCTACCACTTGAGCTACAGCGCCACTACCGGCTTTTTTCTTTTTGCTTATGTGGTGCTGAGGAATCGAATCCAGGGCCTCAGGCATGCAAGGCAAGCGCTCTACCACTGAGCCACCTTCCCAGCCCCAGAAGTTGGTATTTTAAATGTGTTTCAGGGCTGGGAAGGTGGCTCAGTGGTAGAATGTTTGCCTTGCATGCATGATGCCCTGGGTTTGATTCCTCAGCACCACAGAAGCAGAAAAAGCCAGAACTGGTGCTGTGGCTCCAGTGGTAGAGCGCTAACCTTGAGCTGAAGAGCTGAGGGACAGTGCCCAGGCCCAGAATTCAGGCCCCACAACCGAACCGAAAAAAAAAAAGTGTTTTCAGAGAGTTACAGAAAGAAGTGAAAAGGAATGGGAAGTAAGAGAGACATTGAAGCTTTCAGATATTCTTCCTCCTCTTTGTGTCTGATTCTCTTCCCATTCTTCTCTCCCTTCCACTTTTTTCTTCCATTAGAACTTTGTGCATGTTAGGCAAGCCATCTACCACTGAGCAACATTTCAACCTTCCTCTCCTCTCTCCTCTCCCCTCTCTCTTTTTTTTTTTCTCTTTCTCTCTCCCCTCCCCTCCTCTCTATCAGTACTAGGTCTTAAACTCAGGGCCAGGGTGCTATCTCTTAGCTTTTTCTCTCAAGGCTGGTGCTCTACTACTTGAGCCACTGCTTCACTTCTGGCTTTTTGGTGGTTAATGGAGTTGAGTCTAATGGACTTTCCTGCCCTGGTCTGGCTTTGAACTTCCATCCTTTTCCCATGGATTACATTCTAATTTTCTAGTTTTCTTAATGGAACTCCTTACAACTTGGGGAGCAAGTTAGGGGAGAGACTCTGATTTTCTGAATATGTGTCATCATGTTGTCAGAAAGAAAGTCAGCTGACTGTCTCTGGCCTTTTTTTGCAGAGGAGGAAGCTTGATGCTGTATATTATTATATGCGCAGCTTAGCTGCCAGCAACCCTATCCTGACTGCCAAGGAGAGTCTAATGAGCTTGTTTGAAGAGACCAAGCGAAAGGTAAGAGGGGATGCAGGTGGATTTATTTATCTGTGTCTTTAGGAATAACTAATAATACCTTCAAGTGGACCCATTGAGCTGTGATGATGGGTTATCAGTTAGTTCTTGTGCAGATTGAAATTCATGCTCAGGAGTGTTTTCAGAATCCCTGGGTGCACATGTCCTACAGCAACTTTTATGAATCAAAGCAGAGGAACAGTAGGAAAGACTTTGTAAAAATTTTTTTACAGTCTTTAGCTTATAAACAAAGGTGAAAATTTTTCTTTTCTTTTTTTTTTTTTTTTCGGTCAGTCGTGGGGCTTGAACTCTGGGCTTGGGCACTGTCCCTGCGCTCTTCAGCTCAAGGTGAGCGCCCTACCACTAGAGCCACAGCACCACTTCCGGTTTTCTAGTGGTTTATTAGAGATAAGAGTCTCACGGATATTTCTGCCCGGGCTGGCTTTGAACCTCGATCCTCAGATCTCAGCCTCCTGAGTAGCTAGGATTACAGCGTGAGCCACTGGCACCTGGATTTTCTTTTCTTTTTTTTTGTCAGTCATGGGGCTTGAACTCTGGGCCTGGGCACTGTCCCTCAGCTCTTCAGCTCAAGGCGACCACTCTACCACTAGAGCCACAGCGCCACTTCTGGTTTTCTGGTGGTTTATTGGAGATAAGAGCCTCATGGACTTTTCCTGCCTGGGCTGGTTTTGAACTGTGATCCTCAGATCCCAGCCTCCTGAGTAGCTAGGATTAAGGGCATGAGCTTTTCTTTTGTTACCTGAATCCCAGGGGACTCTGAGCTTGTGTGTGTCTTCTGTTTTATAGGCAGAACAGATGGAAAAGAAGCAACATGAAGAATTTGAACTGAGCCCTGATCAGTGGCGGAAAGGAAAGAAGTCTACTTTCCGGCATGTTGGAGATGACACCACTCGTCTGGAGATCTGGATTCATCCATCCCATTCCCGGTCTTCCCAGGGCACTGAGTCTGGGAAGGATTCTGAGCAGGAGAACGGGCTTGGAAGCCTGAGCCCTAGTGATGTAAGTTCCTGAGAGTTATGCAATGAGCCAGACTACCTCATTAAGCCTGGGTGTTCCAGTTCATAAAGATGTGGTCCTCAAAAGATTCCCACTAATCTCAGGGAATATCAGCCACTTGAGTTTTTTGATAACATCTTTGGTCTCACTATAGGTCTTTATTATGTCCTTCTCTTGCTCACCACTGTGTGGCACTGTAGAATATAGTATATATAACCTTAGAGTTTTTTTGTTTTCTCCTGCCATCACCAGAATGATGGTAAAGAGCCTTTGGGATGTTGTACTTATTTTTTTTTTCTGTTGGTTGGCATTATATTTAGAGAATGAACTAAAGCAGCATGGGGACATTGGTTAGTATGGTTTATGATCAGCTTTTTTTTTTTTTTTTTTGCTGGTCCTGGGGATCGAACTATGGGCCTGGGCGCTGTCCCTGAGCTCCTTTTTGCTCAAGGCTAGCACTCTACCACTTGAGCCACAGTTCCACTTTCTGCTTTTTCTGATTAGTTGGTGATGAGAGTGTCACAGACTTCTCTGCCTGTGCTGGCTTTGAACTGTGATCCTCAGATCTCAGCCTCATGAGTAGCTAGGATTACAGGTATGAGCCACTGGTACCTAGCTGTGATCAGCCTTTTATGAGATATACTCTTATGACTCTTGTGCTTAGGCTTTTTCCTTGAAGCCAGGAGAAATACCAGTAGAAAATCCCAGGCTTATATAGAAGTCCTCTTCATTTACTCACTAAATAGTAATTGAGTATTTAAAATGTGTCAGGCACTAAAGGCATAGTAATATTTCCTCTTACTTTCAAGGCAAGGAGGACACAGAAATGTGAGCAAGCAAAGTACAGTGTAACAAATTTTGCTTAGGGGACTCTCAGTTTATGAGAGCACATGGTTGTGAGACTGTTGGTCAGTGAAGCAGCACTGGTCAGTTGGAGTGTAAAGAATGAATAGATATTAGCTAGAAGAGAAAGGAAAGCAGAATAGTAAAGTGTATTCCAGACAAAACAATACAAAGACCTGAGGTTAGGAGAAGAGGAGAGGAGAGAGAGACAGAGACAAAGACAAGAGAGAGACAGAGAAAGGCGAGGAAGGGAAAGAAAGATGAAGGAAGGGGGGAGAAGAGGGAGGAGGAAAGAGAGAATAAGAAAGAGAATGAACAAAAATACGCAGAGATTGCAAGAGGCTGGTTGTGTCTGGGAGTAATACAAGTTCAATGTGAACAAGACATGAGCCAAGCAGTGTCTTTGGAGGTGGTAGACATGAACAGATATAAGGTATATTAATAAAGCAGATTCTAATAGACTTTATTAGATATGGGGAACTAAGGGACAAAAGGGAGTTGTGATTTTGGGTTTGGAAACAAGGTAATTGCTGGTTTATTTAATAAGATAGGGAATAAAGATGAATAAAGTTGAATTATTCCCATGGGATATTGAAGTAGAGCTATTCAGGGTTAACAAATGTCTGAAGCTTAAGGAAATTTAGATCAGAGATGAAGATTTTTGAAAGCATCCTCTTGTTGATGATAATGAAGCCATGAGAGTTGATTTGCTAGAGGTTAAAAATAGAAGAATTATGGGCTAGGAATGTGGCTTAGTGGTAGAGTGCTTGCCTAGCATGCATGAAGCCCTGGGTTCGATTCCTTAGTACCATATGAACAGGAAAAGCCTGAAGTGGTGTTATGGCTCAAGTGGTAGAGTACTAGCCTTGAGTAAAAGGAGGTCAGGGACAGTGCCCAGGCTCTGAGTTCAAGCTCCAGGCCTGGCAAAAAACAAAACAAAACATTATACTTAATCTTTTCACTTTCAAGGAACCTTCTTTCTATCACTTAAAATAAGTTGCAACCCTTCCAAAGCCTGTTTCCACAAACCATGTTTTTTTTTCAAGGTGAAATGTCTTTCACTCAAGGCTGGTGCTCTACCACTTGAGCCACAGCTCCACTTCCTACTTTTTAACATAGGTAGAGGTAAGAGCTAGCTAACATCTATTCATTCTTTACACTCCAATGGACCAGTGCTGCTTCACTGACCAACAGTCTCACAACCATGTGCTCTCATAAACTGGATAGTCCCCTAAGCAAAATTTGCTTGCTTACATTTCTGTGTTCTCCTTGCCTTGAAAGTAAGAGGAAATATTACTATGCAAACATCTACTTGCTTCCTCAATGCTCAAAGTGTTTCCTATTACATTTGGTCTTAGGAATGAGCATTATAGCAGAATTGACTGTTTTTCATTGGTCTATCTTTTTGTTGTTGTAGTGGTGGTTGGTTATGGGGCTTTCACTTGGGCCTGGATGCTGTTCATGAGTTCTTTTGCTCAAGATGAGGGCCCTATCACTTTGAGCCACAGCTCTATGTCTGGTTTTTGAATAGTTAATTGGAGACTTTTCTGCCCAGGCTAGCTTTGAACCTCTATCTTCAGATCTCAGCCTCCTAACTAGCTAGGATTACAGGCATGAGCCACCAGTGCCTGGCACTTGTCAATCTTCTTATTGTATATATGTATGTGTATATATATATGTATGCATGTATATGTTTGTGTACATATGCTGTTTATGGGGTGTGTATGTATACTGGAGCTTGAACTCAAGGCCTCATGTTTTTGCTCAGCATTTTTGCTCACAGCTGGTGCTTTCCCACTTGAACCTTGCCTTTATTCTGGCATTGTAGTGTTAATGGACTTAGATCTCTTAGCTTTCCTCCTGAATTGGCTTCAAACTAAGATTCTCCACATTTTAGCCTCCTGAGTAGCTAGCATTATAGCCATAATAAGTGGCATGTTTCACTGGGTGCCCCACACTAGTATATTTTTATTTTTATTTTTTTATTTTTTTGGATCCGGTTGTGGGGCCTGAACTCTGGGCCTGGGTGCTGTCCCTCAGCTCTACAGCTCAAGGCTAGCGCTCTACCACTTGAGCCACAGTGCCATTTTCTGCTTTTTTCTTTTTGCTTATGTGGTGCTGAGGAATCGAACCCAGGGCCTCATGGATACAAGGCAAGCACGCTACCACTGAGCCACCTTCCCAGCCCACTAGTATATTTTTAATATGACTGTATATCTCATTATAAAGATGTATATCAGCTGGGTTCCAGTGGGTCGACTGAAGTCCTGGCTACTTTGGAGGCTGAGATCTGGAGGATCATGACTTGAAGCCAGTTTAGGCAAAAAAGTTCACTAGATCCATCTCCAAAATATGCAACAATAGCAAGGCTGGAGGTATGCTCAGGTGGTAGAGTACCAGCTTAGCAAGGGTGAGGCCCCTGCATTCAAAACTTGGTACCACCAAAAAATTATATCAGTTACTAATACCATTTAAATATTTTTAAACTTTTTTTTGTCTTGGGGCTTGAACTCAAGGCTTGCGTGCTGTCCCTGAGCTCTTCAGCTCAAGGCAAGCGTTTTGCCACTTGAGCCACAGAGCCACTTCCAGTTTTCTAGTGGTTAATTGGAGATAACAGTCTCACAGACTTTCCTGACAGCACTGGCTTTGAACTACGATCCTCAGATCTCAGCCTCCTGAGTAGCTAGGATTACAGGTGTGAGCCACCAGCGCCCAGCTCCCTAAGTTCTTTTGCTTAAAGCTAGTGCTCTACCACTTTGAGCCACAATGTAACTTGTAGTTTTCTGGTGGTTAATGGGAGATAAAGAGTCTCATGGGGACTTTTCAGCCCAGGCTGGCTTTGAACCATGATTTTCAGATCTCAGCCTCCTGACTAGCTAGGTTTACAGGTGTGAATCACCCATGCCTGGCCATTTAAGCGTTTTTGTGTGTTGCTTGTTTATATCAGTTGCCCTTTTGAAAGCAACTAGCTTTAATAGAAATTACTGCTTTGACAACTCATAGTTTCAAGCACACACTTAAAGTTTAGACCTGTGAATAAACAATGTTCAGCTGCATCTGGTTATTAATAATGATAATAATGTCCCAACTACTTTACTTTCTCTCTTTCAAGTGTGGCCTATGGATCTCTGAATGGTTCAAAAGGTTAAGCTTGTGGGTTGTTGGTTTTCAGCCTTGAGATGTGGTTTGGGTTGAACATCAGCCTGGGGAAGGAATACCACCCTCAACTTCCAGTGGTGGTCTATTAAGATTCACATGTAAACTCTTTCCCCTGTCCAAGTATGCTATTTAGAGTCAATGTTGCCAGGGCTCTGGGCATTCTTTACTCAACAAAACTGCTTTTTGATGTATTTTATCTCGTTTTGGAAATCTGGTCAAAGGGTATTACTTACTACTTGGCCTTTTGGTTGTTGCTGACAGTCAGTTAACTAAGTATATTAAATTAGAGTCCAGAAATGATTATAACACTGAAAGGCAATGGTGTGTGGTGGAACTACTAATGATTTTTTTCTGATTGATTCCCCTTCTTCCCCCCACGCTACCATTTTTTCTTTTTTTGTAGCACTTCGAGAAGTGCTGTGCTTGGTGCTTCACACCTATAAGGATTGTAGTGCCTTTCTTTTTGGATAATGTCACCCTTTCCCTTGCTTTCTCCCAGTGAGGACTTTTTTTGGTGCTAGTCCTACTGCTTGAACTCAAGGGCTATGCACTGTCTCTGAGCTTCTTTTTTGTCAAGTCTAGTGCTCTAACACTTAAACCACAGCTCTACTTCTGGCTTTTGGTAGTTAATTGGAGATAAGAGTCTCATTGTCTTTTCTGCCTGGCTGGCTTTGAACTGTGATCCTCAAATGTCAGCCTCCTGAGTGGCTAGGATTACAGGCATGAGCTACCAGTTTTTAGCAATTTTTTTTTAAGAGTATCTTATACAAGTATCATTTTCTTTAGACTATCATTTGTCTTGCTTTCCAGTATAGTTTGTACACTTGAACTGCTGCTGTTGCAATACCACAATACAGAAGAAAACTTCTGTGTGTGGGTGGTATACCCTCCTTCAGTACCATATAGTCAGAGTATCGGTTTAGAAGACTGCTAACATAGACAAGATGACTTGTCTTGAATTGGAGTTCCAATTCTTAGACTTATATCATGAGCTTTTAAAA